TCAGGGCCGGTCGTTCTGATGAACGACCGAAAATGGCCCTTCGTTTCAGGCTAAAAAGGCTGTTGCCATTTTTAGTCTGAAACGACACAGGGACTGTAGGCCCCTGTTTTCAGGCTTTCGGGCTGAACAGTCACGGGGCCTGTAGGCCCTGGTTTTCAGGCTTTAAGCCTGAATTTCAGGCTTTCAGCCTGAGGGACGCAGGGCCTGGAAAATGGCCCTCGTGTGCAGGCGCAGCATGTAACACTTCTCATTGGCCTCTAGCCTATAGCCACGTCACTGGTGAAAAGAGCCCAAAGGCTCACAAGGTCGTGCTCACACTCACGAGGCCCTGTAACCACCTGGCCTGTGGAAACTGTCTGGCGCCCAACATTCCAGAAATGACCCGCCTTCGCTTAGGAAGGGCACGAGGCTTGCTGGGGGGCCCTCGTACTGTCGGGTGCCTGGACTGACAAGGCCATGTGAGGGCTCAATCCTCGCATTAGTTACCAGGGATAACTTGATTAAAATGTTTTTAGGATGGGAAGGAGTAGGTCTCACATCACATTCGTTAATTAATTTTTGGTTTACACGACTTCAAGCAATTAAAGCCGTTTTTAAAGGAATGCTTGTGAATCGAGTAGGTGTTGGTATTGTCCGTTGTTTTGCTATTTTTCAAACTCTAGACTTTTCAAACATCTTTGATTGTCCTACTGCCTTTGTGTGGAAACCTTTATTTCTTTTTTTTTTTTAATATGAAAGTTCATGCACTAAGTGCTATTTCTGCTTCAGGGCGTCGTTAGACACTCGGGGACGTGATTCCAAGGATTTCGTCTTCGTTCCGCCTGTCCTCGGAGATGAAATCGGAAATGAAAATGTGAAAACACTCCGAGGACAAATCTTTGGGCTCTGAGGATTTCCCAGCCAAATCGTGCTCGGCTCCAAAGGACCTCGCGAGGTCCTTTGGGGCCCGAGGATCCGTGTTTCACGGAGAGGAGAGGGCATGCACGTAGAGAGACGTTACAACCGAGAATTCAGATCGTGGCGGCACCCTATTGGCTGAAAGCCTGACGCACAACTTTTTTTCTTTTTCTTTTTTCGTTTTTGTTTTTCTGACATTGCTCAGAGGATGTCCTAAAGCCAATGCTCCAAGAACGAGTCTAACGAAGACGACAAAAACCCTAAAATTTTCGGAGGATTCATCCTCAGAGCCCGAGGATGCCCTGAGGAGTGTCTAGCGACGCCCTTACTCCCTATTGGAGCTGTAGGAAAATCCGCACAGACAGGAGTCCAGAGTCCATACGGTTACCGGACGCTATGGAGGGCTTTAACCTTCGACAGATTTACAGTCTGTCACTTTTAACCACTCTCCCGAAGAATGCAGGCAACCCAAAAGAGTCAATGCAACCTTCAACAGATTCACGTTGCGGTTTCCCGATAGGAAATCCATGGATCAAAGAGAGCTTCTCCCCACAGCGTTTCGCCTTTTCATTGCGTCCTTTCTTTCTCAATGCCAAGGCATCCACCCAATGCATTATTTAGGTTATAGCAGGGCCCTTCACTACTCCTCACTTTTGTTTTATATCACATCATAGACTGATAGAGCCTAAGGCGGCATGCCCGTCAAGGTGTGCCTTACAGTCTGTCACGTTTAACCACTCAAACACTCTCCCGAAGAATTCAGCATCCTAAAAGACTTGAACATGGGACCTTCAACTGGGAAGATTGTTGCTCTACCAGCTGAATTAAGAAGGCAGCCCACCCAAAAGAGTCATTGCAGCTGCCACAACAAAACAAGCAGCTTACTTTATTCATGCATGCGGTCATTCACACATCCCCCCGGACGCAGGGATGGGGTTAGTGTCCACCTGACGGTTGGATGCCTTTAATACAAATCTCTCTCTCTCTCTCTCTCTCTCTCTCTCTCTCTCTCTCTCTCTCTCTCTCTCTCTCTCTCTCTCTCTCTCTCTCTCTCTCTCTCTCTCTCTATCTCTCTCTGGTCTGTGCCCACAGGCGTTGCAGTGTATGCACGCTGTCACATTCGTGCACGCACCTAGCAAGCACTATGGCGGGGATCGTTAGCACTCCATCGCTCACATGCACCATAAGAGTTCCCAATGCTGCCATTGTCCCACCACAAGGGTTGGGACAACAAGAGAAAAAAAAGAAAGAAAAAATAAGGTCCAAAACCTGGGCTACCAGACCCGCACGGGCTTGGCCGCCTGGCTGGAAAACCGGGTCAAGGTGACTCGGACCCTCTTGCCTGGGTCACCCGGGCGAGTCAAAAAAACAGTCAAAACTTTTTTTTTCCCCACCTGATGATGGGGCATTTTTGCGCCCTCTGAGAGGGACCCAAATACGGTCTTAAAAGCTCATGTCAGTTTTGGAGGTCGTGGGGGTGGGGGGGTGGGGGGGGGGAGAGGTTAAGGGACTTAAAAGCTTTAAAGGGGTTGAGAAGGGGGTGTGAGATGATTTTCCTGACATTATTTTATTTTTATTTTGAATTCTAGGAAGAATTTGGAAGTGGCCCTCAGCGAAAAGTTGTTTGGGTCCTTCGGGACATCCGTTAAAATTGGAACGATACAGAGAAGATAACAAACAAACAAAAAAAAGTTACTTGGATTGCTATTCTGCACAACAACTTTTTTTCAAACAATTTTTATTTTTTTTTTTATTTTTTTTTGGGATGGGATATGGGCTGGGACCCCGCCCAGCCCAGTTTCCCAGCCGGTCGTTTTTGTTGAAGCGCAGGGCATGTTCAGGCTCGGCTTCAATACCTGGGCGAGGTACTGGTGGCTTAAGCGCCGATGCACGTTTTGACCACGTGTTCTGGACTGGGCTACCAGCCATGCCGCCCGGGTCCCCAAAGCTGGCACAGGACCTGCTTGGGAAAACCGCCGTGGGCCTCATTTTGGCTGGCGCCGCCAGCCATTTCGGCCCACTACCCTGACCCCCAAGGATGCGAGCCGGATACTTGTTTTCCAAGCTGGGCGAAGTACTGGTAGTTTAAGGGCCTTGCTCCACCACTCACGACAGACACATTTTCGTTTCGTAAGCCCATTGCTCCACCACTCACC